CACGGTAGGACCGTGGTCCGCATACGTCACACTAAGCCTGCAGCTTCAGGGCGATATGTCAGAGTTGACGAGCTTTACCGCGAATGAGCACACCTGCTGGCGGAACAAGATTAAATCGTATTGGTTTTGCACACAACTGCGTCACCGGTTTCATTGAGGTACAGGGGTCAGTGGACAACGCCAGGATCTGAAGGGCGATCACAGGACAAGAATGTAAGGATAGTGACGGACTATTTGGCTTTTCATGACAGTCTTGTGAATCTTTTCCGACGCGCATGTCTCTACATACGAGGACAATATGCACCTACACACTAATGCTGGGCATATCTGTATCGTATTTGGCAGGGCGACTGGGAAATAAAAGTGGATACGCCGTCGCGCTCAAGTTGCTAATGAGCCTACGTCGTGAAGAATGCTAGGTTGCATTGAGTAGTGTACATGTTCTTTGCTTATTTATGGGAACAAGCGCCCTGGGGTCAATGATATGCAGTGGACTGGCGAAAATGTGTACAACCAGGATATGCCAATGTAATGAAACCACTGCTTTGACCGCAGATGTCTACTAATATCTAACAGTTTCTCGGCGCATGTAAATTCTTATTAAAGATTCACGTATCCGTTAAATGAATTGTCCAGCCTCGAGCGTATATGGATACTGATAGCTCGAGCTTTGGCAGACGAAGGCACTGCGGAACACACTCAGTAAAATGCAACGACGACATTTGGCGGGGTCCGGATCACGCGTGTCGAGGCTATTGCAATAATGATTCAAATGAGGTTAAACTTATAATGAGATCATTTACGTGCTCATACCTTGTCTTCATACCTCAATCGTATCTAGTGCATGTAAATTTTTCAATAAACGATTGTTCAATTCTTCTAGAGGAAATGCATGATTACATGCATAATAAGTTAACTTAAGGACATACGTGTCATCCTCATCATTGATAAGTGCAACGAACAAGTAGGTCCGTGTAGAAACTGGCATGATTTTGAAAGAGCAAAAAGGCTTGATTGAAAGACATTTAAAACAATAATTCGTGTGATGTAAAAGCATTGATTGTTGAACTATTGGTATTTCTGTATTAGCTGTCAATGTTGGAGAACGTGATGCAAGCAATTATAAAATGTATAGATTTAGTACGTCGACGAGAAGTGGTGGGTCGTGCCGAAATTGCCTTGAAACATCAAAAGTAGCACCACCATCACCACCTTATCTCATAAGCACCCACCATATAAGTGCTAGTCTCGAAGAAATGGAGGTTTCCTACAAATGTATCCGATATCCGTGATCTTAGTCGTATTTATAATGGCTGGAAGGATATTGGATATGTACTTGATCGGGTGTGGACTGTCATCAACCTCGGACTGACGGGGGTCGTAATTGAGCAGTCGTTGTCTTACTGACGATTCTCCATTCAGAAATCTGAAACAATTATCGTTAAAAATCGCAATATGATTAAGTTAAGATGAACAGTAAGCTTTGCAGTTCGTACCTGACTCGAACCTGCTTCCAGTCAGTGTAGCACATAGCTGGCTCGAACCTGTCTTAATTCAGTGCAGCACCTTGTATTGAACTAGTCTTACGATAGTGAAGTACTTTGGCTTGGAATTTCTTGATGCATATTTTTAAACGCTTAGGCGGAACGATTAGCAATGGTGTGGGGGAGAGGTCTGTCGCGTTTAAATATATGATACATTTGTATTGATCGGAAGACGCGGTGCTATGTACCGCTATCATTCTGCGATTTGTAAAGACGAACACAAATTACGACCCAAAAACAACTGATTATATGTATTTGTGTAGTTGGAGATAGAGTTGGCGCCAGGTAGTCTTTCAGTTGGCCCTGTTTAGCGCGTCCACACGTGGAAACAGGTATTTGTCCTAGGGGCAGACAGGGCGCGAAAATCGCAGAGAACGCCGGGTACCGAACCCATCACCTCCGATTGGCCGCCGGTGCACCTAGACGGCTCCGATCAGAATCACGTTCTAGGCGAGTTCTCGTCGTGAGACCGGGATCCGCGCTCGGCGAACGGGTCGGCGACTGAAGAATGCGGCGGGAAAAAGCCGGAATCTGCTTGCGCCTTGAATGCAGAGGTTCGACACTCCGTCGATATGCCCCACACCGCGGGATACCGAAGGATTGCTTCCCTCTCGGGTCGCACGCTGCGGTGCCTCCCGTGGCACGCGCAGCGGAGAAATGGCCTCCCCCTTTACCCTTGGCCCCACTATGGGGGGACTTCCCATCCAAGGTATGGGGACCAGATGACTGGCTCTTAGGAGGTCTTCGTTTCAGTCCGTTGTTGCTTAAAAAGCACAAATTGGTCAGTGATTTGCAATGGTGTATTGGCAACAAAACGGCATGTGGAGATCATCGAGCAGCTCACGAAGGCACACGTAGTGTGTAAAGAACCGCTCACGCCGGTACGCTATGCTCTTTTGCAGGGTCTACACTGGCCCACGAACCAAACGGTCTCACGCTGTTGCCTGTCCATGTGATCGGTCCTTTCGCGTGTGTCGAGTGGCCACAAAAGCGCTCGCATGGCTGTACCACTTTTTGGCTCGGGAGCGATATGTGGCACCAAAATTAGGTGATACAGTAGAACCTGTCTTAAGTAATATCGTTGAGACCAAGGCCATAATATTACTTTACGAAGATTGTTACTTAGGGAAGGGACAGAAACTTTAAGTTTTTAAGTGGATAAAATTTTGCGATCGGCCTTGTTTATAATTAGATTCTCGCTGCAGCCGCCACCCCCAGTCACCCCCCACCTATGTAAAAAGGAGTCCCCCGCCGTTCCCCAACTTTTATCCCTCCAATATGCCCCCGAAAGGCGCACAGTACGCGACATTGACCGAAAAGATCCGCATTGCTTTGTGTAAGCACCATGATAAGAATCCTTATCTCAGCCAGAAGGATCTCATCCACTGGCTAGAACAGAGGCACAAGGTGATATTCAGTCAGCCTACAATCTCAGGCCTTCTCAATATGAAAGCGACAATCTTGGCGAAGGCCGACAACAGCAATCTTGACGCAAAACGTCAAAGGACTGTTAAGTATCCTCAAATGGAATCTGCTCTCGTTGAGTGGTTCCTTAGTCATCAGGATAGCGTCAACGTGAGCGGGGATCTTTTCAAATAGAAAGCAGCCCTTTTCTTGACCACCTCTACCCTGAGCATGATGTGTTCAAGTTCTCGAATGGCTGGCTGAAATCGTTAAAAGACCGGTACGGAACCAAGTCCTTTCGACGTTTTGGAGAGAGTGGTTCTGTTGACGTGACACTTATCGAAAATTACTACCTGACATCCGGGAGACGCTGGACAAGTACGAGTGGAAAGATATATACAACATGGATGAAACCGGGCTATTCTACCGGCTGCAGGTTTGTTTTAACAAGTGGAGTTGTTTGCAACATTTTGTGACAGTTTGTGCTTACGTAAACTTATTCACAGGCAGATAATTCGCTGGCAACCAAGCAGCTGGAATACCGCAGTCAAAAAAGCGTATCACCTTGGCAGTGTGCTGCAAGGGCAATGGAAGTGACAAGCTGCCGCTCTTTGTCATAGGAACATCGAAATTTCCGCGGTGTTTCAAAAACATCAACCTTGACACCATCGGCTGCAAGTACCGAAAGTCAGTAAAGCATGGATGACACAAGCCATCTTAAACAAGTGGCTGAAATCATTTAATGCTCGCATGGCCGGACGCCAAGTTCTTCTAATCATGGATAAATGCAGTGAGCATATACCGCTTGCTCAACTTCCTACGATTATCCGGTTGCGCAACACCACGGTTTTTTTAACGTCCACCAAATACGACTGTGAAACACCAGCCGCGCGACGCAGGCATAACCAGGAATTTGAAGGCCTATTATCGCAGGCGCTTTAAAAGCTTGCTCCTCCAGCGCCTCGAGCAACATGTGGAAGATCCGGAGAGAATTGATGCTGTTCAGGCCATTCGGATGGCGGTTGCAGCTTTGAACTCAAATGTTAAGGCCGAAACAATTTCGAATTGCTTCCTTCATTGCAAGATTCGCTCGGTTGCTTTGGCTACCCCTAAACTTACTGCACAGCAGCTGGTCGAGAATGAGGTCAACGAAGATCTTCAAATGCAAATCAGTTGCGGTACCAGAATCCAACTAACATCAGAAGTCTTCTTAACAACCTTGCTGAGGAGGAGGTCGCCTAAACACCAGATGAAGACGATATCGTTGCTGAGCACCTTCGATCTGATCAAGTGGAGGAACAGGAAGATGACACGGAAGAGATTCCTCGTGTCATGACATCTCAGGCACTCGATGCCACGCAGACGCTCAAATACTTTTGGTTGCAGCAGCCAGACCTGAAGCCAGGACTTCCTTATACGCCTCCAACAAATGAAGGACAATATTGGGAAGATCAGGACTAATTGACTAGTGCAGAAGCCCATCTTAGAATTCTTTTCCAAGGCCCATTAACTGCTTTGCACTTAATTTTAAGTCCTCAATATAGTGAGTATTACTTTAAAAACATTTAGGTACAGCCTTTGGCTATAAAGTATCAGTTTGGGGAGTTATTACATTTAATATGGGTCCCAAGTCGGGACCAGAAAGGAATATTACATTGGGTAGGTTATTACGTTAGGCATTTTTACTTTCGACAGGTTCTACTGTAGTCACTTTAAGCACGTGCAAAGCCGTCGACATGATCCTTTCGTCGTCCAGATGGCGTGACGTAGGACGCTTCTACCGGACATAGAACCCCTTGAGTCCAACAACGTGTCGCGCGGTCGCAACGTTGCGAGCTTCGAGCACATGTTTCATTTGTATGGCGCATACTGTCTTAGAGTGTCGTTCTTGGGATGGGGCAGAGTCCGGATGGAAGGCTAGCAAGGTGCGACCGTCCGTGGGGCTCTGCGCCTGCTTCTCTCCGCTTCTCTCCTGCTCCTCTCCTGCTCCTCATTCGTTAGTTCGCCTCCTTCCGCAGACGTCCACAAGCAAGTTACCGAACGAAGACGAAGATGAAGTACGCTGTTGGGTTAGTCCTGGCTGCCCTCGCCGTGACTGCCGCTCACGCTGGCCAACCGCAAAATCTTCGCGCCAACAAGGAGGATGAACTTGCGAGTAAGGGTCTGTTGGAGGACGAAACGGACGCCGGCCTGAATGACGAACCCGCGAAGAAGAAGGATGTCGTCATGGTGACGGTCAAGGGCCCGGCTGGCAGTGACGACATAAAAATCAACATCATGGACCTGATCGGCAGTGGAAGTGGCCAAGTCGACTTCGCCGACATTTTAGATGCCGAAGTAAATTCGCCATTGTACGATCGGCTTCGGAGCTCTGGAGATAACGACCCCATCGCCGGGAAGGGTGCGAACGATGGAAGTGCAGAAGATCTTTCGTGGCTGTCGAGTGAAGAATCTGGAAACGAGGACCCTGCCGGTACGAAGGGCGGTTTGTCGGATGTCGACATTCTAAAAAAGCTCATGCTCACGTTCGGTGATGGATCTGGAAACGAGGACCCTTCCGATACGAAGGGCAGTTTGTCGGGGGCCGAGTTTGATAAATATTTGATTCAGTTGGTTGGTGATGAATCGGGAGAGGGGGACCATCTTGGCGCGAAGGGTGGTGCCAAGGGAGCGCTATCATTGGACAACGAGGAACAAGACGAGGAAGTTGACCCTCTAGGTGCGAAGGGTGGTGCCAAGGGAGCTCTATCATTGGAGGACGAGGAAGAAGAAGAGGAAGTTGACCCAATCGGTGCAAAGGGTGGTGCAGGTGATCCACCTGGTGTGAAGGGTGGTGCCAAGGGAGCTCTATCATTGGAGGACGAGGAAGAAGAAGAGGAAGTTGACCCAATCGGTGCGAAGGGTGGTGCAGGTGACCCTCTTGGTGCGAAGGGTGGTGCCAAGGGAGCTCTATCATTGGACGACGAGGAAGAAGACGAGGAAGTCGACCCAATCGGTGCGAAGGGCGGGGACAAGTCTACGAAGGCATCCAAGTCAACGAAGGCGGGTGCCGAAGGCGGCTCGCTTGCTGGGCTATTTGACGAAGGCACGGACGGCCTTGTTGGCGATGAAGGAGAGTCAGTCCCTCTGGTGGCGGGCGGCAAGAAGGGCACGAGCCCGGCCGTTGAGAACGAGCCTGTTTTTAGCGAGGCTGACTTGGACGACAGCCCCATGCAGTCGGAACTAACTGGCACCAAGGACTCTAAGGCCACGAAGTAGTCGTTCTCTGAAGACGGGTTCCTTTTGGCAAGTACATTTGATTCATAATGACCGTTTTTGACAAGATGTTGGCATTTGTGTATTCGCTTGCGCAGGAGTAGTAGACTCGCTAATGCTGATACACAGGCTTGCATATGGCCTCGCTAACACATCGCATTTGTATTTTATTGGGATCGATGTGACTAATGCGATGCGAAGGAGAGCAGCTGACGACGATTACACCGCCACGACGGATGCTCGAGTTTTATCTATTCGCAACTGCTGAATCGAAATAGAGGCTATGGCGGTCAGAATGTAGAAGACGTGCGACAGGTGCGCATAACATGTAGAAATAGTATGGAAAATTTTACGACCATCAGTGCCCCGCGCCACGGGTCACTGCTTCGGCACACGCACATGCCTGTTTACTGGATTGCGCAGATGGATCGCGCAGACGGTCATTAAAAGGGCTGTCCGACGACACGTGCCGCCATCGCTCCGGCGTATGCACACTTTCGATAAACGGTCGCCCAAGCGATCGCAAAAGATGTTAACAAAGAGAACATGTTTGGCACTAGGCTTCAGCAGCATAGCCAGACAAACCAGAGAGCGCCACTGAAGGTAGCCATCTCCGTACAACCACCGGACTCTTTTGAGCACCGGCGTTGCCATTCAGGCTTAATGACTTTCTGACATCTTGCAATTTCCAGTGGATAAATCGACAGGTCTGCCTCTCTCTCGCTAACACGTAGAAATGGTCAGCTAAGTAGTATTCTCAGTCAGACGATCATTTGCACGCGAGGTCTCTCACCGCTCCTTTCTGTTGCTGTCGTTTTTTCATTCCAGATTCGACAGCAACAGAAAGGAGCGGTGAGATACTTCGCGTGCAATTGATCGTGTGACGATGCATCGTCTAATGATTGTGGATACAATTTTAGTGGACATGGATACGGTCACGGTGCGTGGACCATCTTCATGTCCATAAAATCGTATTGTCACCGTGACCGGAATGACGCAATCGTGGAAAAGAATGACAACATCATTGTGCTTGCGCGAATTTTGCAGATTTTCTTGGAAAGAAAGACGCTGAGCACGCATAAGGGTCCTCTGCAAGAGCTAGTACAGGGAGCCGAATACCGGGTACAGTACAGTATATCGAGCGGACAGATCGATCGAGCAGGAAGCCATGGTCGACATGCATTTATCAGCCTCGCACAAAAAGACGATCTAGACGCAGATTAACTCCAATAGTAGACGTGGTCATTTAGTAAATTTGCTCATAGATGCTTTACCGCAAGAAGTAGCAGCGTGTGAGGTTATGGGTAGCTCGGTCAGATTCACACGCATTATTTTGAGGTTCATTTGTTTCTTGCTGCTAGGAGAAAGGGTCATGGACAAGTCCGAACTCGTCTCTGTTCGCACTACGACCTACATTTCACAGCTTGATTGAGGAGTTACATGACAAGGTTTCAAAAGACGCGTAAACGTACGTCAGATTGGTGGTGCATGTTTGTACCTCATCAATAGGAATTCTACTGGGAGAAAGACGCGAACGCCATTGTTGAGTTATGGTGAGGAATATAAGCTTTGCGCCTTGACAGAAATGTCACCAAGTGATTGCTGTATAGTGTATTAACATTCACGATATGTTGCATGCGATTGTACAAAGTCGCATCGGAATTATATTTCGGTTGTTTTGTGCACTTCTCGCACGACAACAGTGTTTAGCATCGGTTTCCCTTGTATGTTTGTACAATAGCTGCCTGTGATAGGACCCAGTGGTTGTAACTTGCGCGACGGACACCCGCATGCTTTCGTTTAGTTTTGACAAAAAGTCATGTGTTAACGATAACTGTAACGGGGCACACCCTTGCGTGAACTTAACGCAAGGGTATCGGTGCCCCGACAGACGTACACAAGGCAAGCGAGGAAGCGTAGGTAGGGTAAAAGCAGAACTGTTATATTAATATAATTAAGTCTTTTAACTACTGTCTCTCTGTTTGACTTAACTTAATTATGTTAATATAACTGAGTGTATGGTGACGTCTCGTCACCACTCATTGCGCGCGTCTTGCGGCGATTGGTGGGTTGATATCATCAAGATATCAACCAATGAACAGACTTTTTGGTCGACCCTTCAATATCACCACTTTGGTGATATTGTTTAAAGAATATTCAACTTCATATTCTTATTGTCACTTTCCTTAAAGTGACAATTCCATGTAACGGGCTGCCCCGTTACATCACCGCCCCTTAACTGATAGTCACCGTGTGACTATCGAAAATATGGCGGCCACGCGTTGGCCACCATTGGGACAGGGAGCACTTGTTGGGTCCGTTCCATTCACTTTCCGCTTGACCTCGCATAGTTAACATGTCTATGCGAGGTGACTCAAGACCTACACAGACTGGTGCTGTGCCAGCCTCTGCGGCAGACGATTCGTCGTCTGCTGCTCCTTCTTCGCCTGTAGCAACAGGTGCTGCAGGTGCACGCGGCACCTCACCGCGTGCGCATGATGACCCTGACATAGAGGTCATCTACTCTGGCGAGTCAGACGTGTCTGACTCGGGCAATGCGCCAGAGGCGTCTCGCTCACCGGCGACGCCTCAGTGTTTGCCAAGGTCACTGCCGAACGAACGGACTCGTGATTTGCATCACAGTCTGTTCGGCAATGATGACGATGATCAGGGCGGTGAGGAATTTTATTCCATACCACCACCGGCTCGTGCGTCTTCGCACGAGCGTGATGACGATGGCGTGAGCCGTCGTCAATCTGGGAGCCGTGGTACCAACAAGGGTACCACTGTTGAAGCGTGATGAGCCGAAGCCGTGGCGTTTGCCCGAACGGCTCATCAATAGCTTGTCTCACGAGACAAGCCAACACCATCAAATACCCTTATTCGATGCAACTGAGCTTAACGGCTTGAGTTCCAGCGCGAGTAACTTTCGCGCTGAAGAAGACTGATTTCTATCTCGATGTCTTTCTTTGACATCGATGGTACAACGGCAACCAAAAGCGTGACAAAGCATCGCTTTTGGCTGCGTGGAACGCGTTCGTCCAAAACGTAAAGAATTTTGGACGAGAAGGGTGGCTTAAGAAACTTGAGGCAATACGCATCAAGTTCGAAAAGCGAACGCCAACCGGTGCAAGGAACCGGTTGCATTGTTTGTCAAGTGAGGCCGTCATTCCATGTCTCACTTGGGGTGATCCTTGTGCGAGCTGTGTCGACAACTCTCAACGTGCACATAGGGACTTGTATTCCCTAAGTTTGACCCGGGGAAGGGCACACATCTCGGATGAGATGCGGGACGCGATTGCAAACTTGCAATCCGTCTACAAGCGCCTAGGGCGCGTGTTTACCGATGGGCCACACGGACTCAATCGGATGGGTCTCGTCATACTGGCGGACGAGACCTTCAACGTCACCAACAGCTGAGAGCCGGGCTCCCAGCTGTTCCAAGAGGGTGGATACCCCCGCCACTCAACGAGGTAGCTCGTCCTTGATCCTAGATCGTCACGGTGGTCCAAGATACGCTCCACTAGAAAGCGTTGATCACCGTGAACATCCACCAAAGGATGTGGTGGAGGAGGAAAGACCTCGTCCAGATGATTCGGTTCACCATCTCGACCCTTACGAGATGGATCGCGCAATCGATGAATTGCACGATGACTTGAAGAACGAGCGCGACCGACGCTACGCTTTGACTGATACCGTGCGGAAGAACCGCAAATATCACGAGGCTGATCGGGCGAGAGATCGCGCCGATTATGCCACAGCGCAGCTTCAGGTCGAGCGGGATGTCCGCTCCCTATTCGGCGAGCTGGCGACATCTCGCGGGGAGATATCTCGGTTGAGTTCCGAGGTATCATATCTGCGCGACCAGACGGATCGTCTGGAGCGCGAACGCAAGAACCTGATGGATGTTCTTGAACGTGGGGGCTATCTTCATCGGAAGAAGAAGGCTCGTACCGACAGTACGATCTAAGTGGCCCCACGTAAAACGTAGGATGCGTGCGCATCCTTCGTGGCAATTCGAGTGTGTATGCATTGCTCTTGCGGTGCAACACACGAAAAAGACCAATGTATTTTGGCAGTAGGTTACTACTGCCGACATTGGTGATTACATGTCTAGGTAAGTTTACCGTAGACAGTAGTACTAGGTCGTTAACCATAAATTAAAGAACATTCGCTCTTCCATTCTTGTCTGCGTTTCGTTCCTGGCGGTCCACCGCATTTGCGATGGAATCCTGAACGAAACGGACTACCGCTTCTCGAGTCAGCCGGAAGTTCTCTGCTGACTCTTTGTTTTGTCTTTCAGTGCGCTTCGTGCGCACTGCTAAGAGATTGCTCTCTTCTTCAGCGAGGTTGTCTTCTTCCTCGCTGGCATAATCGTTGACGATGCTGAGTATACCAGCATCGTCATCATCATCCGAGTCAGTAATAGCGTCATCGCTATTATTGAGCTGATCTTCTTCATCGATGTCGACTTGATCGACATCGGCATCATACGTGACGACGTTAGCGTCGACACGTGATGAGCAAGAGCCAAAACGGTTTTTGCTCGAGCGAGTCCCTCCCCCCTTATCCAAGAGACACACTCTATAAGGATGGGCACTCGTGGATGGCGTAGGCCATTCACGTAAAACGGTGTGTGCTGTATGGAAGCATGCACCGAATTATTGATGGCGAATTCCAACATGGGTAGGAATTCGCTCCAACTCGGAAACGAGTGGACATATCCTCGAAGGATCTCTTCGAGGACACGGTTCGCACGTTCCGTCTGACCATCTGTTTCTGGATGGTCAGAAGTAGACATCTTCAATCGTGTTCCAAGAGAACGGAACACGGTTTGCCAAAATGCCGCCGTGAACCGAGGGTCACGGTCGAATACGAGTTCACGGGGCAACCCGTGGAGTCAGAAGATCGTGTTAAGAAAGACACGGTCACAACCTTGAGCCTTGATCGACTCGGGCACTGCAGCAAGATGCACCATCTTGCTGAACCGATCAACAAACACA